TTATTAGCCATTTCAAAGAAATAACCATTGCCTTTTTGATGCTTTATTACATTTCCCATTTTATTAATTCCTGCTTTTATTATTACATTTCTTCTACACAGCGAAGGGGATTTAATTTGGTATTCATTTTCTTCAAGTAAATGCTTACTTAGTTCATTTTTTTAGACTTTCTTCTGATCTAATATAAGAATTTAAGGCTGTAAAATTTCCCCCTAAGTATTGTCCGTGGAGAACTTACTCTGTGAATTCAATCCTGTGAGCTCTGTTGAGATTTATGGCCCAGTACAAGGTCACTAAAAAATGTTACGTTTTCTGCACTTTGTGGGTGGTTACGTTTGTCCACTGCTCGGTCTTCAGTATGCTTACTGCTTTTGTTTGCTCCTGTACCAAACACTCGGGGGTTAAAATCTCTACCCATGATTCTGAATGGATTCCTTTACTCTTCCGTAAACTTCGTAAACTTTGTATTATCCCAGGAAACAAATATTTATCAGTTTTGTTTCACATGTTTGCTAGTACTAGAAGTACCACTGACTGGGAGAGTTCAAATTCCTAATTCAAATCTTGTAATGATTATGGTATTTTTCAGTTTTTTCTATTTTTTTTAGAGCCTTGTTAAGAGATGTCCATTGTTTTCAAATTTGATATAAAATTGTTAATATGCTTAAAAAAGGGTCTGCTCTAGTCATAGTTCTGTTCTCTTATTCCTTCCTAAAAACTGAACTCTTGCTCATTTGATTGTTGTTCCTGTTTTGTTTTCTATTTCATTCATTTCTACTGTTTTCTCTTATGTCTTTTGAGTTTATCCTGTTTTTCTAACTTAAGCTGTACGTTAGTAGTTTCTAATTATGATATGACCCTCTTTGATCTACTGATTAAGAAATTTAAACATTTTTTTCTATTTGGAGACTTCTAGTCATCTTATTGTTGTTAACTTCTGACAATTCCATTATAATCAAGAAAAATACTCTCCGTGATATGGATTCTTTGAAGTTTGAGGTCTTCTCACAGCACAAGATCACTTTTTAATAAATTTCCTTTTTGTGTTTAAAATATGCATTATTTTGCATCAGAGTTCTACATATGTTCAGTACATCAAGTCTGAGTTTGTGTTCCTATTCGGTCTTCAACTGACTTAAAAAAAATCTTTTTACTTAGGGACACCTGGGTGGCTCAGTCGGTTAAACATCTGCCTTCGGCTTAGGTCATGATCCTGGGGTCCTCGGATTGAGTCCCACATTGGGCTCCCTGCTCAGCAGGGAGTCTGCTTCTCCCTCTGCCTCTCTCCCAACTGAAGATTTGTATGTATTTGACAGAAAGAGGGTACAAGCAGGGGAGCAGCAGACACCAACTGAGCCACCAGGTGCCCCTTCAACCCTCTGTTTTTTTTAATTTAAAGATTTAATTTATCTGACAGACAGAGGTCATAAGTAGGCAGAGAGGCAGGCAGAGAGAGAGGAGGAAGCAGGCTCCCTGCAGAGCAGAGAGCCCGATGTGGGGCTCGATCCCAGGACCCTGGGATCATGACCTGAGCCGAAGGCAGAGGCTTTAACCCGCTGAGCCACCCAGGTGCCCTTCAACCGGTTTTTTTAATTGCTTCATCTCCCAGGTGTACTAAAACATCCACCGTGATGTGACTTTGCCAATTTCTCCTTGTAGTTCTATAAATTTTGCTATATAGTTTTAGAAGTTATCTTACTGAAGACATACAAACTTTAAGGATAAATCAAACCTTCTATCTTCATTAAAACAAAATGTTACTGTAGAGTCCACTTATACAGCTACAGAGCTTCCTTTGATCTTTCTTAGGTCTATTTTATCTTTTGGCTCTCAGCATTTCAGTATCTTTGTTTTAGATGCATTTCTTTAAAAAGCATATTGCAGATTGTTAAAAATCTGTTCAAATGACCAAGATTTTTTGCAGAACACTCAATCCATTTACAGTTGGATTTATCTCTACCAACTATTTGGTGCTGATCTGTACTGTCCACTTTCCTCCTGTGTGTACTGATCTGTTTCTTATTTTCCCTTTGCCTCCTCAACAGATACCACCGCAGTGCATACTGCTTTGTTTCTTCAAGGGGCAGCTCTTCATCTTGTCAAGTTCATACCGGTCTAAAATGGGTCCCTATTGTTACTCTCCTTCCCAGTAACACCAGATAATTAGATTGATGTAATTTCAATTACCAACTTCACACGCATTATGCTTACAAGCAACAAGATTAAACTTGGACTTTTCCCTCCCACAAATTTGACATTCATTACATTATCAATAGTTCTTTAGATTTACTAAAGTGCTTACTATTTTCTTTGCTATTACTTCTTACATCTCAGACCTGTGATATTCCTCCTCCTTGAAGTTTATCTTTTAGAAGTTCCTTTAGTGTAGCGATTTTGGCAGAAAATTGTTTTTGTTCTTCTGAAAATGTCTTGTCTTTCACCTTCATTCTCAGATAATCCATAAAGCATAGTGTCTGCATCAAAATTTCCTGGATGGTATTAATAATAAACATTTGATAGCTGAAGGCTGAAAACTGTATACAAAGGAAGCAATAACGTAAGCATGATCTTAATTTTGTATTGCATTTATCAGATGAATGTCTGGAATACCTTTCTTATGCAATTTTCTTTCTTCTTTTTTTTTTTTTTTAAGTTATGCAATTTTCGTTCACTAGATTCTCACAATGATTCCAAGAAGTTCACCCCTTTTCTACAGGTAAATGGAACACTCTAAGATTTGTAATCCTCACTCCATTATTCTGGTTCTAACCAGTACCCCCCTATCTGCTATCTGCACAACAGAATGTGCCATTTCTTTCCCTATAAGTCTCATTCTTCTTAAAAGTATTAAATTTTCTGTAGTGTTCAAGAAATCCCATTGGTATAACTTTTAGTTTAAAAGAATTTTTTATTAACCAGGATTCTTAATTCCTTCCAACATGTCAGATAACAAATCTTTTTAAGATAACTAATTCTTTGGTCTGACACATTAATATATAATTGATAATTTAAGTTAATATAAAAGTTCATTATTTTTTAATCATGTTCCCGAAGAATAAGTTATAAATCTGTGAATAACAGTCCATTAAGTTAATACTTCATTTATATAGAGGAGAAATGGAAACAAGGATAGAATTCTGCTAAGAACTGCTTAGTTTTTCATACATGCGTATAATGCATATATCCAGAGCTAGAACAGGGAAGGTATTGGAATTTTCATATCTTTTTCAAATAGCTAAAAAGAGACAAAACTTAGAGTAGGGATTTTCAAATCTTCAAATAAAGAGATTTTCAATCTTATTTTTTAAGATTTTATTATTTAAGAGAGAGAGTGCACGCGCGTGCACACACCCATGGCGGGTGGAAGTGGAAGGGGGAGCAGGGTCCCCATTTAGCAGGGAGGCCAACGCGGCGGCAGGTGTGGGTAGGGGGTGGTGGAGACTCCTGGAACTCTGGGATCACGACCTGAGCTCAAGACAGACGCTCAACCAACTGAGCCACCCAGGAGCTCCAAGAGATTCTCAATCTTACTGATCACACAATTATCCAGGGGGAAATGAACATATTCCTCCAACATACAAATATTTGTAAGTTACTTACATGTAACTTGTAATAAAAACCACAAAATTACAAAGTGAAAAAGGATAAACTAGGGATAAAATAGGTCATATTCTTAAACATTTTAAAGTTTATTAGTGGCAAAATCAGATCTGTTGAGGGCATATGGATGTGAGATGTGAATGACGGAAATGGGACCCAGCCTAACTTGACTGGATCGCCGCTGGGACCACTATCATTTTAAATTTCACAGTGTGGCTGAACAGCAAATACTGGGCCTAGGAGGACTGTCTGTCTGACAGCTTTTTATGATCTCCTGAGAGTTCTCCCTCGACCCACAACAGAAGTAGCTCCTACACCAGGACTTGGCCTTCATTAGGGAACAGTCCCAGAGGCCCCCTGTGCTGCAGCGAGTGGGAAGGACAGAAGGCAGTATGCAGTGTGCTGACACATGGACTGCTGCTGTAAGCAGTGGGAACCAATCCTACCAGGGCCACTCTGAGAGAAGAACTTCAGTGTCCTCTCACCGGAGGGGTAAGGAAGCTGGAGTGTTCACACACCAAACCCTGCCCTGCACTGGCGAAGGCCTGCTGGCCTGGCCCACACGCAGCCCAGAAGCTCAGGCAGCCAGCAGGCACCTCCAGAAAGCCGAGGGTTTTGGAAATTGCAGATAAGCTAGAGGCGGCACAGGGTCCATGGGGAGGGCATAGACAGCAGAGGCCACCTCTGCTGTCCCTGCATCATGAAGAATATTAACTTCAGGGCACCTGGGTGGCTCAGTTGGTTGGGCGACTGCCTTCGGCTCAGGTTATGATCCTGGAGTCCTGGGATCCAGTCCTGCATCGGGCTCCCTGCTTGGCAGGGAGTCTTGCTTCTCCCTCTGACCCTCTCCCTTCTCATGTTCTCTCTCTCTCTCAAGTGAATAAATGAAATCTTTAAAAAAAAAACAAAAAAAATTAACTTCAATCTTAAATTTCTTTGCAGGATCCTTTCTAAGCCCTTAAAAAGAATCTTTGTCAGGTTAATCTACAGTCGGTTTTTAACTAAATTGGTAACATATAAATGAACACACCCACAAAAACATCACAGTCAATTCTTCCACTTTCCAACAGGATACTTCAGAGAGGAATGTGACAGATGACCACCTGATACACAGATCGATGAGTGCACCAGCATCAATCTGAGTATCAAATATCGACACAATTTCACCTTTTCTTTGATTAAAATAGAAGTTGAGGGGCGCCTGGGTGGCTTAGTGGGTTAAAGCCTCTGCTTTCGGCTCAGGTCATGATCCCAGGGTCCTGGGATCGAGCCCCGCATAGGGCTGTCTGCTCAGCGGGGAGCCTGCTTCCTCCTCTCTCTTTCCTGCTTCTCTGCCTACTTGTGATCTCTGTCAAATAAACAAATAAAATCTTTAATTAAAAAAAAAAGTTGAGATTTTCTTCCTCTCCACAATACATTACCTTGTGTACCCCTCGAGGTGCATGCTCCCCATTCTGGCTATTCCTTGGCCAGAGTACACAGAGCCCTGTCCAGCTCTCAGCTGGAAACAATTTGACTCATTGCATGGTATGGCTGGACTATTCTAAATGGCTAAGAACATACTAGTTACAGTTCTACTACAGTTTTAGCCTTTATCACTTAATGAGGGGATGAAAATGTCAAAAACAATCTTCATAGAATTCTGTGAATGGGTATATTATTTCCCCGTGTTAAAAAAAACTGTACAGAGACCCAACCAGAATGCAACTCCATCTTGGGACTCATTCTAACTCCGATCAAAATGCTCTGGCTTTCCACAGTCTTTGGTGTAAAAGGCAGATGGGCAGAGGCTCCTTGTTTTCATCCCCTTTGCAGAAATAACAGCTCTACAGAAACATTTTCCAAAGTCATAGCTTCCGAAAGGAGTTACATATGAGAAGTCAGAAATGCATTTAAACTTTTCTAAACAATTAAGTACTTAACTAAATTCCAGAAATGTGACACAAAGTAGAAAAAAGTTCATTTTATTCAGGCCGCAATGTGTAGATTACTTATTTAGTCTTAAAACAAGCTCAATATACAGTTTAATTATTATCAGCACTTTATCTTCAACAACCCAAGAATAGAATAAAGTTTTCCTGTACTAGTTTAAGAAATCCATTCTGGAAAAAAAAAAAAATCCATTCTGTGTAGAAACATTTTTATTAATTCTCCCAGAGTTTAAAACTTTATTACCGAGTCATTTTAACCCATTAAAGACTTTTTAGATTTTGCATGATATCCTGAAAAACACTATTTTATGACACATATCAACAAAACTCAACACCACTTTCTCCAATAATAAAAATGTGCTTTTTTGAACTGTTACTTTTTAAATGACGTGAAACTAAAGAAAACTGGTTGCTGGTTTTAAAATCCTCTTGTTTGGAGAAAAATATCCTATGCTTTACTACTCGTTGCCATGCCTTACAGAGATAGGGTCTGTAGTCCACATCTGCCTCACTTGGATGGTTAAAGGCAGGCAGAGGCCCTTCTGTCCAGTTTGAGGTTTTCTGCATTAGACTTTGTGTTGTTGCAAAAAGAACTAAGCGATACTCACTTACGAGTTTCTCTAAGAACTGAGCGCATTTCTTCAGGGTGCACTCCTGCAAGTTAACACTGTCTCCTCCATTGGCGCGGTCTATCCAGTAAAAGGCGGACAGGCTATCCAAGATCAAAAGGCAGAGGGAAGGGTGGCTACAAACCGTGGTTTCTAGGGAGTACAGCGTGAGGAGCAGCTGGGTGCTGTTACCGCAGCTCACCAAAAACAACCTTCCCAGGCACTGTTTGACCATTTCTTCACAACTCTGGGACAGTCTATGCTCGAGAATTGTAACCAGCCGGAGCATATCAAAGCGGTAATCTGTGTCAATAAATAAGACTTCTACTTCCAGTCCCCCTTCGGATTTTGGAAGTATACATCGTGCTGTTAAATGATAAAGCATTTCGGTTTTTCCTGTTCCCTCTGGACCATGAAATTCAAGAATATCACCTGTGTAAAATGTAAAAATGTCAGTCAAAATGCAGCAGCACAGTAACGGTAGGCTACAAAATGAAAAGTCTGCAACAGTGTGTAAAAAGATGTTTACTGGAATGTGAAAGAAAAATTCTAAATCCATTTGCGAAAATGGATCCATATGAGCAAATACAAGTAAGTAAGGAAATTAAATCATTAAATTTCACCTCTGAGAAAGGAGCTGGCTATTAACTAGCATCAAGAAAATGTGAAAAACAGAACGACAAGGTGGAAAGGCACCCAAGGAAGTCTCTCGGGGAGGAGTCCACATGCACTCACACTGAAACTGAGAAGCTAAGAATAAAGTGCTAAAAGAAGCTACTGACCACTACGGTACACAGCACTTCTGCTACTTGATTATCCAATATACATCCTCCCCCTTTCCTGAAGTATAAAACCTCTATTTGGGCGGGGGAGGGGGGGCAGTGCACCGAGCTAAAAAACTATTTTTCTCAGTATCCCTTGCAAGGAGGAGTCAGCAGGGATCACCAGAGCCGGGGAGACACGAGTACAACTCTGTTGGGGGTTTCTGAGTTTTGCTTTCCTGATACAGGTGCCACTTCTGCTCTGCCATACCCTGCTCTGGAGGGGAAGCAACCATCCTGAGGCAGTGGGTAGAAAAGGGACACCCTAAGTAGGGTGGGCCCTAAGAATCGTGGAGCAGGAAGACAAAAGGTGCCCAGGACTTTGATGACATGGTGGAATCCCACACCAGCTGGGCAGGGCCTGCGTCTATACCACCTGTGAGGTGAGGAAAATAAGCCTTTATCAGGTAAGCCACTGAGTTGGACTTCTGTCACACGCGGCTGAAACGATCCCTAACTAGGGTTTTTTTGGTGTGACTGGCATTATGGGCAGAACAATTCTCGACACTGCAGTTTCATATGTTCAGCTCTTGGGCCTAAATGCCAGTAACAGCCCTCCACATTTCCAAAATGCTATCAGTTATTCTCTGCTATATAAATTTCTTGAAGCTGTGCCCTGCTGGAATGACATCTGCACTGTAAATTATTTTCCCAGCATTATAAGCTGAAGTAAACTACTCTGAATTTCAAAGACTCCAAATCTTTTTTCTATATAGGTTTCTATACAGGAGAACGCAAATTAAACACCTGGGGAAACTGTCCTACCTCCAGAGCTCTTCAAAACCCACTCCTAACAGTGGCCTTCCAATCCTTGCTAGTTTGTTTCCATTTAATTTATGGCTGAACCACATGACTGGAAACACTGTTAAAAGTGCAGATTCTCAGGCCCCAACCAAATTACTAGTGTGAGAGTCCAGTTCCTTTACTTCCTGTTATTACTAACATACCACTGTAAATTGGAACATTCACAAAGAATGTAAAAAAACGAGCATGTTACCACTATAACACATTTAAGGTACTATGAAACTTCAACCAGTTTCTACCATAATCTTACATGCAATATGCAATTACAAATTTAAATAAAAATGATTCCCCACACCCCTCTCCCCAAAGATTCTAGACTCAAGAAGTGAAACTATTTTCACAATAACAACTGTTCACTGATACTCTTGCTGGCAGTTAACACAGTAACTAAGTAACTATTCAGGCCAGATGTTCAGTTTACTCTCCTACTGACTAAGATGCGAAGCTGAAATCCTCCCCTTACCCACAGGTAAGTCTTTTACTTCCCTATATTACAGAGAGTAAACTACATGCATTCGATGAAACATTAATGTAGAACAGATATTAATGGTAGAAAAGGAAAGCTGAAAACGCAGTTTAGCAAGACTAATCTCAAAATAGTTTGTAGGATGCAGCGAAGCGCACGGAGAAGACAGTGGGGAAACCAGCCAGCAGACGGCACCAGACCCTCCCTTCCTTCCCCAGAAAAGAAGGCGATGAGACCTATCAACAGCGACCAGCTTTTCTATGGTGCTTTACAAAGGAAAGGGGACAGCTTGATGATAGCTCATTTGACCCTAATAATAACACTCTGAGCGAAGAAAGCAAACTTTATCACGTTCCTTCATCGCAGTTCTCATGCTATATAATTTTTAAAAGATTTTTTAGTTTTACATAATCTCTACACCCAAAGTGGGGCTCAAACTACAACCCTAAGATCAAGAGCCGCACACTCCACAGACCAAGCCAGCCAGGGGCCCCTCATGCTGTACGATTTCTGGCTATTTCATCGTATTTCCTACGCACTACTTTAAGGTTGGGACTCTACTATTCTATTTCCAGCACAAAACACAGTACCTTTTGAATGCCCTTCATTAGGTTACTTTCTTTTTGAGAACTTCTTGAGAGACATCTGAAAAATGAAAATGTAAGTCCTATCTGGGGAGGGCTTAAGGCTCCAGAGTGAGCTCTGGAACACTGCATTTTGAAAGGAAGCAAGTCAGTAGGGAGTCCCAGGTAGGGAGTGCGGCACTGGTCACCAGAGTCCTGCAGATGTAAAGGCCCAGGACCAAGGCTGGAAACGAGAGACCAACACAGGAGACAAGCCAGAACAGGAACAGAGTGCCCAGTATAAGTCCAGCCCCCTGCCCACGGCCCCTGGCCCAGTGAGTGTGGACACTTCATTTCTGTCACATCTTCAGTGCCTGCCCATGTTCAGGGGTAAGGTAGCGATGTATGTAAAGGTTCTTCTCAGAGACAGGGTTGGAAGTACCCATACACATCAAACACATAAGGAAAGCAGGAATTTTTAATTCACGTAATCACATAAATATCCTAACAAGAATTTAGCTTTCAAAATGCTATGTTAGGTAGGTGTCACAAAATAAAAATGTCCTACAACCCCTAGGGATTTAAGATTCAAGACAGTAATAAGAGTGTAGACATAATGATCTGAGAATAAGCTACAAAGCAACAGAGAACAGAAAGCTCAATTTGGTCGGTGAGAGTGAATAAAAAATTAGGAATAGAGGCCAAAAACACAACTCTTGGTATAGATCCACGTTAGAGGAGTCGGCATGAAGACATAAAACATGAATTTAATATAAAAATTAGAGAAGGAAAATGACAGAGCACAAAAGGCTTCAAGAAAATGAAAGAATACTAAATACATTAAATGAAGCACAAAATTTCTAAAAGTAAAGTGGCAGAGGAGAGTTTGGGAACAGATCCCTGAACTGGTCCCAGATAGTTACCTTGCACCAGTAAATGTGTAGTATGCAAAACCACATTTAATACATGTATTATTTTATGAAGCAAACTTCAAAATCAGATACTCAGAAAAGAGATGGGAGGGCTCTCCAGGGAGAACTCCGCGTTCTTCCAAGGACTGGGCTGCAGGGAAGGCAGGGGGCACACAAAGAATTAGGGGAAAAATATGATGGTTTACATTCATTTAAAAAGTAATATTCAACAGCAGTTTCATGAGACTGAAGTCAAATGAAGACAACCAAAGGTAGGAGAAAGGCAACATATTCTGAAGTAAAAGGGAAGAGACTCCACTGGCCAGAGTTGGTAAGTGGGAGCCGTCTGTGGGTATTTCTGGAATCCTCAGAATAGGAAAAAAAGGAAAATCTAGAAGAGTATTTTCTTGGAGAGAAGGTGGTGCTCATAAACATCATTCAGCATAACTCAACGGTGTAAGTCTTTGAGAGCACTCGTTACATGGTTTAACAAGGTTTGCTAAATTCATACATTACTAAGAAACAGATGACGTAAGTATATGGATTCCTTAGATTCTTGGTTTGACAAGATTGAGATGAGGCAAAGCTTAAGGTGAAATCCTTGGTTAGGAGATTATTAAGGGGTATATAAAAACACTCTTGTCCTTTTACAGATTAATAGCAAAGCAGTAAAAAGGTCTTTTGTAACAACTGGGGAAATAAAATGTGCAAACTTACAAATTACACATAAATATTATCATCACAGTCCCAGATTCCCTATAAATATGTTTAATGATGAAGTCAGTTTTGTTAATTTTATAAACATTTACTATCTAATCATCACATCAAAAATCATATTCAAGCATGATGTTCTACAGAGGGGCATAGTCCTTTTAGCTGTTTTTGAAGTTACTATCTCAAATGTTTCTGAGACCTGTTGGAAAAGAAATCATACCCTTGTCCATTCAAAGTATTGCATATGACAACTTGGGAGTAAAAAAAAATAAATAAAAAAAAAAACACCTCTCACCACTAAACACACACACACACACACACACACACACACACCCCTCTATAGTTTGGCACTTGACAAATTAAGCTAAATCAGAAAATCTGGATGGTTTGGCCTTGATAGTTACTCTCACAAATAGAATGCTGTAAGGGATCTGGGTAACAGATTGTCAGAGTGAGTTTATGAATCTGAAGATCCTTCAAAATAAGGATAAAAAAGAAAAGCCAAAAAATACACCATCTTGGTACCAACCTACTAATTGTATAACAATATGTTGAATTTGCAGATTACAATCATACAGAAGAGGTAATGAGTTGGTATGCACTATTGTATATGGTATAGTACACAGTACTGCATAACTACTATGAAAAAGCATTTAGAAATGTTTACAACGGAGTAGAGCTTTCTATAAGCCCTAAATGTTTCCCATACAGCTTCTGATAAACTATTGTTGACAAACAATCCTTGTAATACCAGTCTTAGGTCTGCTACTACTCCAGTGGGCACTCATTTAACTAGTTTCACAGCTAAAATATCTACAGTATTTATAATATATTGAAATTAAGATGGTGTTAATCAAAACTAAGTAAACTTTTTTGTTAGTGACTGAGCATGATGGTGTTTTTAAAGTTTCTACAAATATAACATTCAGGGCACCTGGGTGGCTCAGTGGGTTAAGCCTCTGCCTTAGACTCAGGTCATGATCTCAGGGTCCTGGGATCGAGTCCCGTATCGGGCTCTCTGCTTAGCAGGGGGCCTGCTTCCCTCTCTCTCTGTCTCCCTCTGCCTACTTGTGATCTCTCTCTGTCAAATAAATAAATAAAATCTTAAAAAAATATATATGTAACATTCAAATGGATAAGCGGTGCTCTGACCCATGTTTTGGTGTCAGTTTCATAAGGTCCAACTTAATAATATCCTATCTGATAGAGTTTAAAGTTCAATCTTTTGTCTAACACGTTTGGTCAAAAGTTGTCTTTATTACTGATAGTTTAGAAAATTGTTTGCTAACAGATCTGCTCTATAAAAAAATAGTAGAGGGAATATTCTAGGCTGAATGAAAGGATAGCAGATAGTTACTTGAACGCATGAGTTAATAAAAACCACAGGTAAATGCAACTACATAGGTAAATATGAAAGACAGTATATGTTTTATATTTGTAATTTTTTCACTTATCTGACTTAAACAAATGAACTAAATATTTTTAATTTATTTCTTTGTTATAATAATTTTAATTCTTTTTTTTTTTAAAGATTTTATTTGACAGAGAGAGATCGATCACAAGTAGGCAGAGAGGTGGGTAGAGAGAGAGGAGGAAGCAGGCTTCCTGCTGAGCAGAGAGCCCGATGCCGGGCAGGTCCCAGGACCCTGAGATCATGACCTGAGCCAAAGGCAGAGGCTTAACCCACTAAGCCATGCAGACGCCCCAATACATTTTAATTTCTTTGCTGTAATGACTTTTTAATTTCTTGCACTGTCACAATTTTAGAAGTGTTTATGGATATACGATGCATAGATATGTAACTTGTAACAGCACAAAGGAAGAAGGAAGAAATGGAGCTACCCAGTAGCAAAGTATTTATAAAATATGGAAATTAAGATGGTATTAATCCAAATTAGATTATTTTAAATTAAGATATTAATTGTGATCCTCAGAGAAACCATTAGGAAAATAACTCAAGGTAGCCTGGATGGCTCAGTCAGTTAAGTGCCTGCCTTCAGCTCAGGTCATGATCCCAGGATCCTAGATCAAGTCCTGAGTCCCACATCAGGCTCCCTGCTCCTATGCATGGAACCTGCTGAACCTACTTTTCCCGTTCCCTCTGCTACTCCCCATTGGTGGGGCGGGGGTGGGGGGCGCACAAGGCGGCGGCTGGACTCTTTTTTTAAAAAGTGAAAGTAATGACCAGGAATAAAAATGGTACACTAGGAGCACCTGGGTGGCTCAGTTGATTAACTCTTGCCTCTTGATTTCTGTTCTGGTCATGATCTCAGTGTTGTGAGATCAAGCCCATATCTGGTGGGGCTCTGTGCTGGGTGTGCAGTCTGCTTAAGATTCTCTCTCCCTCGGGGCGCCTGGGTGGCTCAGAGGGTTAAAGCCTCTGCCTTCGACTCGGGTCATGGTCCCCGGGTACTGGGATGGAGCCCCGTATGGGGCTCTCTCCTTGGTGGGGAGCCTGCTTCCTCCTCTCTCTCTCTGCCCGCCTCTCTGCCTACTTGTGATCTCTCTCTGTCGAATAAATAGATAGAATCTTAAAAAAAAAAAAAAAAAAAAAATTCTCTCTCCCTCTCCTTCTGCGCACCCCCCAAATGGTATATTAGAAAATATTTAACACAAAAGAAGAGAGTAAAGAAGGAATAGAGAAAGAAAAAAGATATAAGATGTCTATATAAAAAGCAAAATGACAGTCATAAACCCTATCTTATCAGTAATTCATTAACTGTAAGTGGACTAAACAGTCCAAACAAAAGGCAGAGATTGGCAGAATGGAATAAAAACACAGGATTCAACTATAGGCTATCTACGACAGGCACACTTTACCAAGTCACAGACGGACTGATAACAAAACAATAGAAAAAGATATGCCATGCAAACAGTAACCAAAAGAGAGCTGATGTGGCTGTACTTGTATCAGACGAAATATACTTTGAGACAACTGTTACTAGAAACGAGGGACATTTTTATTTTCCATTGTGCTAAAAGATGGCATAAAAGTTACCATTTCTAATTGTACAGTTCAGTAGTGTTAAGTTCCAGTCACATTGTTGTACAACATCTCCAGAACTTCCATCATGCAAAACTGAAACTCCATCCCCATTAAACAACAACTCCCCTTCTCCCCTTTTTCCTCAGTCCCGGGTAACTATCATTCCTGTTTCTATGAATTTGACTACTTTAGATACCTCATGTAAGTGAAATCACAGTATTCTCCTTTTTGTGACTAGTTCATTTCACTTAGCATGTCCCCCTTGTTTATCCATGTAGTAGCATGACAGGATTTCCTTCCTTTTTAAGGCTGAACAAGTATTTCCTCGTCTGCATATACCACATTTTGTTTATGTATGCATCTGTCAACGCACATCTAGGTTGGCCCCATCTCTTAGCTATTATGAGTAGTGCCGTTATGAACATAGGACTGCAAATATCTCTTCAATACTCTGCTTTCAATTCTTCTGGAGACCTACCCAGAAGTGGAATTGTTGGATCATATATATGGCAGTTCCTTTTTTTTTTTTTAAAGATTTATTTTGAGAGAAAGAAGAGTGTGCACAGTGGGGGTAGGGCCAGAAGGAAAAGGAGAGAAAGAATCTCAAGCAGACTCTACACCAAACCGAGGGCCCAACCTGGAGCATGGCCTATGCTGAAATCAGGAGTTGGATGCTTAACTAACTGTACCACCCAGGTGCCCCAATCACACAGCAGCTCTATTTTTTATTTTTTGAGGAACCCTCATACTGTTTTTCACAGTGCCACCATTTTACAATCACATTAACAGTGCAGAATTTTTCTACAACCTCAACAACACTTGTTATTTTGTTTTTTACTGTTTATATTTGGGTTTTTATATATTTATATATTTATATATAAATTTTATATATTTATATATTTATATATATTTATATATTTATATATAAATATATATATTTATATATTTTATATATTTACTGTTTATAATGGGTGTGAGGTGACAAAGAAGGACACTTTATAAAGATAAATGAATCAATCCATCAAAAAGGTAAAATTATAAACTTGAAAGTGCCCAACAGTGCACAAAGCCCCAAAGTATATGAAGCAAAACTGAGAAATAAAGGGAGAAATACACAATTCAACAGTAATCATTGGAAAACTCAATACCCATTTTCAATACTGGATAGAACAATTAGGCAGAAGACCAACAAGGACAGGAGACTTAATGCTAAAAATCAACCACAATTATTACAAAACATCACGAAAACACTCAATCCAACTATAGCAGAATATACATTCTTCTCAAGTGCACATGGAACATTCTTCAAGATAGATCGTATGGTCAGCAATAAAACAAACCTCAATCAATTAAAAAGACTGAATCAGAGAAGTATGTTCTCTGATCGGAAAAGAATGAAAACAGGAATCAGTAATAACAAAGCGGTAAATCTTCTTGACCTTTACTGGATTAGCCAATGGCCTAGCTATGATACCAAAAGCATGAGCAATAAAAGACAAACAAATAAACTGGACTTCATCAAAATTAGTCACTCTGTGCTTCAAGACACCATCAAGACAGTGAAGACAACCACAGAGCGGGAGAAAGTATTTCCAAACCGTATTGGATAAGGGACTTGTATCTAGAATATATAAAGGACTCTTACTACTCAACAACAAAAAATCCATTTTTTAAAAGGGCAAGAGATATGACATTTCTCCAAATTACACCTAGAAATTGCCATTAAGCACAAGCAAAGATGCTTAATATCATTAGCCACCAGGGAATGTAAGTCAAAACCACAATGAGATATCATTTCATACTCACTAGGAAGGCTAGAATCAAAGACACAGACGATGACAGTTGTTTGCAGGATGTGGAAAAACTGAACAATTCTAGGCCTCGCCCCTGGCAGCAAGTAAAATGTGCAGCTGCTATGCCCAACAGCCCCACAGCTCCACCAAAGGTTAAGCCCAGTCACCGCATGAACCTAACAGTCCCTCTCGTGGGTATTACGCATGAGAACCAAACACATGAATCCACAGAAAAGCTCGTACACAAATCATCCCAGCAGCATTATCCATAACAGCAAAAAGCAGAAACCCAAATGTCCATCGACTGATGAACGGATAAAGCGTGGTATATCCACTCAACAAGAACCAGAACCACTGAGCCACGCCACGGTATAAAAGCTGGAAATGTTATGCAAAGGAGCAGAAGCCAGTCACAGAAGACCACATACTGTATGATTACATGAAATACACAGACAAGGCTGGTCTAGAGAGTCATCAAGTAGATCAGTGGCCACCCAGGGCTGAGGGATGTGGGAGCAAATGGGGAGTGACTGCTAAGAGGCACGGCTTGCTTTCTGGGGCGATGAAAATGTTCTAAAATCAGTTGTGATGACAGCTGCATACATGTAAATACAAGTCAGGAAGCTGCACGCTTAAATGGGCAAATTACACCTCCACAGAGCTCTTCCACTAACGAGGAGAAACAATGCCAGCACAGTAGGACTCTTCTGTAAGTATTCCCTAGTGTAAAAGTGCTGGGGGAACAAGCAGCCATATCTTTTCCCTTCCACAGAAGTAGTAACAGACAACGGGGTACTTAAGGACTTACCTGTGACTCTCAAACTTCTAAAGAATTAAAAAATAAATAAATTATAGTAACAAAACTCCCTCAACTACTGTGTTGGGATAAGAGAGGCCAATATTTATTCTGAAGATTTTACCAAAGAAGAGCCAAATTTTAACTCATCTGACACAGATAATGAAGACTTAAAAGTGTTCTAGGATGATCTACTTCTCACTTTTTAATTTTACAGGTTAATCCATATAGCCGTTTGCTACAAGCATGTACATATAAATAAATATATGTTAGAAAAAAACCCTGTTTTATAAGACTTAATGTGTGACATTGTGTTTTGGTTTGAGATTTTTACCATGTACAGATGAATCTTCATCAGCAAACAGACACGGTTCTATTTCTTTCAAGGAACTTCTACCTTCAAGTCGGGCAAGAAGCTAGCAAAAGAAAAAAAAGAAAAACTCATTACCTAAAAATATAAAATCTTAGACATCTACATTTACACCATTTTCCAAAGGTCTATAAAAAAGACCCATTTAATTTTGAGGATTTGGAGGAAATCATGAAATAGGAAATACAAGTTAGGAGGAAAATTATGTTCGTTCATTCAGAAAACACTTCCTTATTTGTTTACATATCAAATACTGATGGTATAAAATGAGCCCCAGGAAGACTCTGGACACCAAGTCCAGGGGAGCCTCTGTAGTTAGCAGACCTCACACATTGTTGCTTGGAGAACTGAGTACCCTCCATAATTCCACCAGGAGAGGACAACTGGAAGGTCTGCATTTGGAATTCTCCTGGACTTTGACACCTCCTCCTGTGCCTGTCTTTAAGAGCGCATCCTTTCCCTGCAGTAAACCATAACCATGAACACAACCACCTTCAATGAGTTCTGTGAGTCCTTCTACGGAATTGCTATACCTCAAGGTGTCCCCGGGGTCCCCAGGCCCCTCAACTTGCAAACAATATCAGAGCTGAGTGTAGTCTTAGGGATCCGAAACTTGGTAAAGTCTGCTCCCGGGACGTCCCCAATTTCACACACAGATGAAGGACTTCTGCTCCAAAATTAAATACAATCTTTTTTTCCCCCCCTCTCGGAAAAGCACTTGTGCTGATTATTTGAGTTGGATGTTTTTTTCATAGACTACCCTTTATTTTGAAAGAACAACTAAAAGAAACTAAACTCTGGTATTTGGCAGACATTTTATTAAAACGAAGAAAGTAAGCTTGTCACTTCAAGAAAATTGACAGTATTTGTTGCCAATGATAACATTTGAATTTTAGAAAACTCACCCACCACTGTGACCTTGATAGCTTCCCGATACTTAAGATCCTTTATGGGGAAGACACCAATGTTTTAATGAATGATTTTTAAAAATAATTATTTAACAAACACGCCAATTCTTGAAAGATCTGTGTAATTCAGTGAACCAGTATTTCCAAATGACCAATGCATGTTAAATCAGTCCTGGGTAAAAGATTCACTCCAAGTGTAAGACCAATCAATCAATGGTTTTAACATATTAAAAAAAAAATCACTGATATAATTTTATATTCTACATTGCAATTAACTTTTAGGAAACTAATATCTGTCCCGTTTTGGTACAGAATCAAAGAAGTAAACCCACAAATATCTAAAAAGACCTTCAAATACTCCTTTTTCCAACTATACATCGGAAGTACTTTATGTTGTTCTGGTTGAAGTACAACATTAAGAGAGTCTTAACGTACTTCAACCAGAACAACATAAAGTCATAGACTGGATGCAGAAGAGATGAGACCCCAGTCAAATTCTATTCAACTGGACATTAAAAAAGAGATGTGCAAATATGTAAAAGAGTGTCACTCCTCATATTTTTTGGTTAGGGAAATATAGCTATTTTTCATTAAAATACTTATAATATTCAAAGAGTTTATAACTATCACTTGTATATGAATGCAAATATTTAAAATTCTAAATTTCTCACCGCAGCTCTCTCCAGAGCCCACCTGCTCTGGAGATCTCTCGAGAGTATATTTTCGCTTTAATAAACTTTCTCGCTTCTGCTATTCAATAAATAGATAAATATCTCAGTTTCACTGACAGATAAAACCCACATAAACAAAAGCTCTTTTGGTGACAGATATTAACTGCACTTATTGTGATCATTTTGCAACATAAACAAATATCAAACCATTATGATGTACACCTCAATCTAATATAACGTTGTAACTACTATTCTACCCAAAAAAAAAAAAAAATGCACAAAAGCTCTTTGAAATCCTCAATAATTTTTACATGTGCAATGCACTCCTAAAGCCAAAAATTGAGAACCACTGAGTTAGAAGATGGAGAGTCCAGCTTGAAAGACAAGACAGAAACTTTCATGAACAAGATGAAACACATAAAATGACTTCAAAATGTTTTAAAAAGGGCGCCTGGATGGTTCGGTTGTTAGGCGGCTGCCTTCAGCTCAGGTTGTGATCCAGGGTCCTGGGATTAAGGCCCACATCAGGCTCCCTGCTCCGTGAGGACGCCTGCTTCTCCCTCTCCTACTCTCCTGCTCCCCCTGCCTGTGTTCCTTCTCTCTCCCTGTGTCTCTGTCAAATAAATAAATAAAATCTTCAAAAAAAAAATGTTTTAAGAAGCATGTATACAAATAACTATTCTCATCAGAATGACTAACGTAGGAAATTACTCCGATTGTTTACTCTTATTGTCACTCCTCAAAATATTTTAAAATTCTCCACTGTGAGAATTCCTGGTAAGAAAGGATTCAAGAAAGCTTTATATTGGCAGGATACTTGGACAGAGATGGCATAACTCCTCTTATCCAATTGGCTAAATTAGCCAGTTTGCATCTAATTTTCCACTATTATTAAAAAATCAAATTTATTTTCAAGGATGAAAACTTCCCACTAATATTCAAAATGTTTACAATGCCAAAGCAGAGTCTGTTTCTTTCAAATAAATAAATAAATAAATAAACTTAAAAAAAAAAAAAAGGAAAATACCCTAAAAACCTGACATAAACTATTACAGAAATTAAAATTAATGATGTCCAGATTTAAGGAATGAATTAAAAGAAGCCAGGTATAATCAACCTGGAGTTTCTGAAGGACAAAAAAGAGTCCAAAGTGTCCATGGTAAAAGGAACCCCAGTAAGTTCTGTTAGACAAGACAGTTTAATCCTTTCAGGGAGATTAACACACTGGGCAATTACAGCTTGGTGATGGATTTCTCTTGATTCTCTCTGCAATCTTTCTGAGGCCAAATTTCCTATTTAGAAAAGAAGGCAAAGTGGACACAATTTTAGTCTATTTGGCAATTTCACTAATATTGTTTATTAACAGATTTGACATCTGGTTTGTAAATCAGTATCTTCTAGGTTTTATTATTTTAACAAAGTCATCAACTAATAGCTACTATTTGCGCTAGTAACTATTTGTTATTCTCTTTTTCAGATGAGAAACTAGTAGATGCCAAAGCCAAGGCTTAAGAGATCTCTTCTGGCTCCCAAAGCCTGGAGTCCGCTGGGCTCCAGTGCCTCAGAGTCAGTATGACGGAGTCTAATAAAATCTGAGTACAGAGATAAAATCTGGATCTACTAAGCTGATCCGAGATCCTGTCTAGGCCTCTTTCAACCATCTCTGTTAATACTCCCCCCAACAGCAACAAGGAGCCCTCAATGTTTTCAACGGCAGCATTATTACCATAACAATAATATAACCTACAAAGGGGGTAATCCTCACTGCACAGCCAGCCACTGGTAACCATATCAGCCAACGTGGGGATACACAGATGTAGCAGACATAGTTCCTATCTTCAAAGAATTTAACAGGGGAGAGTCAAAAGTTTACAAAAATGCAATACAGTACAGTGGCTGCTACAGAAGAAACACAGGCAGGGTGCTTGGAAGGTGCGGGAACCTAACGCCATCTGGGACAAATCTCCCCCGAGGCCCAATCAGTGACGTGGGACCTCCTGGAGCACAGCACCCCTCCCAACATTCTTTCTTGTTTAACCACACCCTTAAGTATACCCTTAGGGCATAACGCCCTTGACCTGCCCCAGAGCCCGGACACACAGCCATTAGACATTCTCCTCTTGGGTGGTCCCACAGCAGGACTCCCAACCTCCAGGGCTAGAAAAGCCGGTCTCAAGGGTGGTGGAGTTGAGAAGATTCATTCAGGAAGTCCCCTTCTCACAGCAGGCTGCCCTTGCCAGCCTTTCTCTTCAGTCTTATAGTCAGTTCTAATTTGTGGGAGGCACCCTTAATTTTGAACAAGAGATTAAGCATTTAGTTCTTTTAAATACATAGAAAATGTGCACTGATAATGTTTTTCTTCCTACAGGGAATGTCCTTTGCCTATTCTCTTTTAAATTTCTAAGGCCAAGACTATTAAACAAATGATGATAATAACATACATTCTTCAAGGCCGCCTCCTTCCATGAAGCTATTACTACTGTACTTAGCACATTACCAGCCCATCTCCCTCATCTGGATGTAAAAGCGCAAAAGGAAAAGCACCTATTTTGGCTCACAACGGACTCCAAAATGCTTTTGTCTGGCAGAAACTCAGTAGCTGCCTATTAAATTAAAAGGTAAACAGGGCATAGGTAGGCAGGCTTGGGAAGGATGGAGTGTAAATGACCTCAAACTATTTCCATTTTCATGTTTAGACAGTATGCAAACTTATACCAAACAAAAGTCCAGGAGTATTCATGTCCTCGAAGTTCTTTATACTAACAAAAGTCCATTTCCAATGCCATTATATACCTTCAACACCTAGTAAGCAGAATACCTACCATACAGATGTTTTTAAAGACCATTCAGTTGTGGAAAAGCTTACACAAGAGCAGAAAGAATACAGAGATCAAACTAATTAGAAATTAATGGCATTAAGGTAAATACATACACACACACACACAGCTGATTTAGATAAAGGCTCATTTCCCCTGATCTTCTGTAAATAAATTTGTCTGCAGATAGACCCCAGTAGTAGGGTTGCAAAACGGTTCAGTATAAAAGGCTGCCTAAGGGGCATCGGGTGGCTCAGTGGGTTAAAGCCTCTGCCTTCGGCTCAGGTCATGATCTCAGGGTCCTGGGATCGAGCCCACATCGGGCTCTCTGCTCAGCAGGGAGCCTGCTTCCTCCTCTCTCTCTGCCTACTTGTGATCTCTCTCAAATAAATAAATAAAATCTTAAAAAAAAAAAAAAAAGCTACCTAAAGAGGCTCCTGGGTGCTTCAGTCAGTTACCATCTGCCTTTGGCTCAGACCACGATCCTAGGGTCCTGCGATGAAGCTCAGCTTCTCCCTCAGCCTCTCCTCTCAGTTTATGCTTTCTCTCTCAAATACATAAAATCTTAAAACAAAAACCTACCTAAAGAAGCAAACATTCTGAACCAAATACTCCCACCTCTGCCCATAATAGACCTGGATTTCCCAGCTA